GCCACCACCCAAAATGACAGCCCTGCTCTAGACACTCTGGAAGCTGACCAGTTCATGAATGGCTGAAGCTTAAAGATCAACACAGAGTCACAATGACAACATGTTTCTTATCCTCTTTGTTATAATTCTTCCTTGTCTCTTACCCCTACTTGTCAAAAACATTCAGTTGGACCTAATGGCTCTAACCAAGTACCAACCTCTGCTTAGTAGGGAGCCACTTCCTTGTGACAAGAAAACTGATAATGATGATGATGCTCTCTCTATTAAAACTTGTCACAGAATGCATCAAAGGGAGGAATGAAGCAGGACTTAAAGGAAAACAAGTTTTTCCCAGTCTTGGGCAGTCCTTCATCCCCATTCTCCACCCCTCCCCCTGTAGCTATAACTCTTCATTCTGGTATGTCTTACGAATGTACCAGGTATAAAATTGGTATTCTTATGAACAAAGTTTATAAAATCTTCTCATGTGATTCACAAGGCTCTGTTTTCTTTCAAGGCTGTTCCAAATTCTCTGCCCTTGTTCTGTTTCTATAGCTTGCTTGACATCACTAAAAAGATGAACTCCTTTGACCAAATGTATAAAACTAAAACCTTTCCTTTGTGCTCTGCTTTTCCTCTGGACATTAGTCTGCTGAGCCAGTGTTTATCTAAAATAAAGTCCTACTGCTTCCCATTGGTCTCTCCTGTCTCTTGGATTCTGCAATAAGGTCACAAAGCAAACAGAAGATGAAAAACTGTAGAACAATCATTTAAACCAAAACTGTCTACAGTTATTTGGGTATTGTGCAATCTGTAAACTGTCTTATACACCTGAGTAGCTAGTGACTCTATCAGTAAATGAAAGTAAGTTAAGGGGCTTGGGATTTAGCTCAGTGGCACCGTGCCTGCCTGGCAAGCACAAAAGCACAATGTCCTAAGTTTGATCCCCGTACCTCAAAAAAAAAAAAAAAAAAAAAAAAAAAAAGAAGTAAGTTAAATCAGCTGATACAAAGATGAATCTTGCCCCTTAGATATTTTAAGAAAAATAAGCATCAAAATATGACGAAGGGTTAATTAAATACCATAGACTTCTATCATTCACCTTATATCCTATAACTTTTCATTAAGAAAGATAGCTTTCCTGTGGAAAAAGATTTGGTAATGTGTTTATGGTCTTAAATTACACATCTATGAAGTCTTTCTTCCATTTGCTGGCTGCAAAAATTATGATGTAATTATTCTTCCTGGAAAAACCTGTCAAATTATTTTTAAGTGACTAACATTTCAAATGCTCATATTTGTAATAGCTTGGTCAAAAATACAAATCAGATTTCCATGAATCAGTGTTGCTGCTGGGTCTGAATGAAAAATACTATTCCAGTCAATCCCCACTGCAGCAGGAGTCAGCTGAAGCACATGTCACTGGGTGGATGTAAACAATTTAAGAAAGGATTTTAGCAGAGTAGTACTTCACTGTGTATAAATTTCACATTTTCTTTATCCCATCCGTTGACAGACATATAAGCCACTTCCAAGATTTGGCTATTGTGCTGTTCTAAACATGGGTATGCATGGATCACTGTAATATTATGTCTTTGACTGTTTTGGGAAGATACCTAAAAGGGAAATAGCTTGGCTAAATGAAATTTCTAGTTCTAGCTTTTTGAGAAATCTCCATACTGTTTTCCATAATAGTTGTAATAGTTTACATTGCCGCCAACAGTGTAGAAGGGTTCCTTTATCCCTGCAGCCTCCCCTTTCCAGTAATTGTTGTTATTTGATTTTTTGATGATGGCCATTCTTTTCTGGAGTAAGATGCGATCTCAGTGTTGTTTCAAATGGCCAGAGATGTTGATGTTGCTCTCAAATGGCCATAGATGTTGAACGTGTTTTCATATTTTCTTTGGTTATTTATATTTCTCCTGAGAAGTGTTTATTCATTTCAGTTCCTATTTTTTGATTGGCTCTTATTTGTAGGAAAATGGATACATCTTGAGTTCAAAATGTTAAGTGAAATAAATCAGACAAATAAGCTTAAATATTATATGATTTCTTTTATATAAGAACCGAAAATATAAATAAGGAGCAAAAATAAAAAACAGACAATAGAAAATAGGGAGATAGACCTTTTGCAAATGGGAATGGGACAATGAAATAGAAGAAGAGGGTACAGAAAAGGAGGGTAAGGGCATAAAAAAGAATAAAAAAAGAAAGGATTTGGGGGGTGGTTATGAGGGGCAAAGTGGGAGAGTTAGTTATGCTTATATTGGTATATTACTCCTTCTTCCTTGGCCATTCTATTGCTCCTCGGGATTATACAGTGATTGCAATGTCTAACTTGGACCTTGGGAAATGGGACAATTGCCATTTAAAAAACTATTACATATTTTTTTTCACATCTTTCAAGACAGAAGGTGTGGTAAAGTACTTGTATTACTTTCCCTGGAGTAGCCCTCTGTGCCCAGAAGGACATGGGCTTCAAGGCACCAGAGTAGTACAAAATCATCAACATTTTCCTGGAAATAGTGTTGGCTATCTGGGGAATCAGGATCAGTTAAATGATCCAGAAGTTATGAAATCAATGTTCATTTCATGTAAAAGTTAAGAATGAAGTGACCAATGTGCCTACTCCCAATCGTATACCTTACCTAAGGATGAAAAAAGATTACTAGATTTACACACAGAAATCCAAGTATCCTATGTCTCAGTCCTGAGTTCTTTTAAGTATATACTATAGCATCTGTTGACGTATAAGAATTGCAAAATCTTTAAATTTAAATGACCATGATGATCAAGATCTTTTCCAACTAAAACCTCAAACAAATGTTACTTCTTTATTTTACAAAGCAACTTTAAACTCCCATAAATCAGAATATTAGACAAAAATATATTAGAACCTAATAACATCACCTATAAGCCCCCATTAAAGGATGTATTTTATATATATATTAATGGGTGACTCTGGTCTAAGATGTTCGGACCTTATTTGCATAAGATTCCTAATGGCAAGTTCTAACTGGACCCTTTAATAGTGTGACTGTGGCCAGGAATAAATAGTAGGGACATATTCTGCAGATAGAATACCAGACATCTTAATCTCATTATCAGTAACAAGAAGGTGATTTTACTATTACAACCTTGGGTTGTGCTCTGTACATTTTGTTGGTATTTAAACAAACAAAGAAAACCTGTTTATGACAATAACAGGTTTCTGTAGGGGGAAGAGTGGTTTTGAGTTTAGGTTTTTATTTTTTGGAAATTCTAAGCCCTAAAGGCAAATCTCCAATTCTCCTTGAGCTAAGCATGCAATTTCCCAATGCAGTGGTTATCCTAGCACAGACCTGAGCCGGTGGCATCAATGCCACTTAGGAACTGCTAGCAATGTGAATTCTCAGCCCACTCCCCAAACTCCCCAACCAGAGGCCCTTGGGGATCGAGCCTAGCAATCTGTGTTTAGCAACCCCTCCAAATGATTCTGATGTGTGTTAAGTTTCAGAACTACCCTAATTTACTATTTGCCTGAAGCTTAAAATCCACTTGGATTATATTCTTTCCCTCAGATGAAACTTGGATAATTTGAAAATCATTTTCTAAAATTATGAGTGAAATACAGTAGTAATTTTATTAAACTTTTAATTAGAATTGCAAATATTTACTAATATTTCAAACACGGGTCATACTGTCTTGTGTTCATATTTTATAGTACTGAATCAACTGAAAAATTTTCAGAAAATACAGCATTATAAAGACATTAACATTAACCTTAGACATTATAAAGACAAATACCTTAAACTTTCTAGGATTCTTAAAGAACCAGAGTTTTTGATGAGACAAATTTGAAATAGTAATTTCCATGATATTTCTTAAGTTTGGTATGTATTCAATATGTACTTTTTCTTTTCTTAAATTCTTTTATTGGTACATTTTAGGTATACAACACATTTACATTTCTCATTGGGAATTGTACCTTTACATGATGCATCTTGGTTCTTATTTTTTCCCCATTCCTAGCCCTCCCTTCATCCCCTCCACCCTTCCCTATTTACAAAGACTTTATTTCCATTTTTTCAATTTCTCATCATTTTTCCTTTCCCTTCTTTCCTTTCCCCTGCCCCTCCCACTACCCCTACCCCTTTGGACCTTTTCTTCCTATTTTGCATTATCGATTATTCATTCTAATCATTGGTACATTTTAGGTATACAATATAATGACATTCATCATTGGAAATTTGCACCTTTACATAGTCTCTCTTGGTTCTTATTTTTCACCTTTGCCCAGCCCTCCCTTCAACCCCTCCATTCCTCCCTATTTACAAAGATTTTGTTCCTATTTTTCCATTTTCTCTCAATATGTACTTTTATATGGATATGATTTCATGACATTCTTAGGTCCTAAATAACCCCCCCAAAATTTACACTGCCATCACCAGCAGACTAATATTCAGGAAAACAGTCTGATATGTATGTGTTTGGAAGAATTCAGCAAAAAAATTTTTTTTGGTTAAATTTAATCCAAAAATTGAGTTAAAAATTCCCCCCCCAAGGACTTCGGTTAATACAATTTTAGATCCTTCAATAAATTTAAACCACACCCCCAATGCCACTGTGTCCGTTTTTCTCTTAGGTATGGTGCAGAGAAGAATGCTGCATATGCCCCTCCCACTCACAAGTGGAACCATGTGCCCGGTACACATGGGCTCTCATAAGACCGCAGTTAATGTGACCCTGAGCTATGCCTGAAATGAAGCTGGACACAGCATGTTACAGCATGGCTAAAATAACTTTCCCATCTGATAATCTTGTGGCAGACAGCAATTTGAGATAAAGATGCCTATCCCCTTTGGGTAGCAAATAAAGGATTTTCTCTGTTGTAGTAATTCATCTGTAAATAAACAGTTTAGCACTCTAGCCTCTCTCCAAACTCATTTCTCTAACTTCAATGCCATGTCATTTAATAGGCTAAACATATCTGTGGTTACAAATGGTACGGATGCCCACTAAGTGCCATTAGCTTTACATACCATATCTCTGGTGATTACCACCAATCTAGGAGTCAGTCCACCACCAAAAATGGTATGATACCTATCCATCCGCCATCTATCCACTGTCCAACCATCCATCCATCTGTCCTTCCTTCTATCCACTCATCTCCATTCACCTCTCCAGCATCTTACTTAGCCCGGTCCACTTGGCTAGGTGCTGATCCTATAAAGACACAAAACAAGCACTGGCTTCCAGCTATCAAGTCAATATGATGAAATTATGAAGGTTGAAGCATACCCAGCAACTTTAAAAGAAAACAACTTCACTGAGGTATACTTTACACATAAAATTTTAGCCATTTTATTTATATGTAAAATTAATGACATTCAGTTACAGTTATGCAATCAATGTTCTCAGTTAAATGTTAACAATCTTAAGAAAACTGGACATAGGTAAGCCCCTCTTTTTAAAAGAATCCTACTTCTTCAGTGTTCTGAAAACCCCACTGCTCTGCACTGTGACCAGAGTTTTGTCACCTTGGCTTGGTGCTAGAGTAGTCAGGAGGGTCCCACTGCTTTGGTAGGTTTCAAGGAAGAACTAAACCCAGAGCTGCGTCTTCTCTCAAGGGCCTCCACAGAGCTCCTAAAGCAGTAGTTCCCTTCCCCAGCAGCACAGTGGAGTGACCTAGGGAGATGTGAAACACAGATGACCCCTGGTCATGTCATTGTCCTGCCACCCCAGTTTTTATTTAATTGGTCTGTGGTTCTACCTGGACATCAGAGATCATCAGGTGTGATGAATATGCATCCAAGATTGAAAACAGGGCTCCTAAAAGATTCAAGATTCAAGCTGATACTCATTTTGCTATTTGGAGACAACAGATGTGGCTTTTTTTTTTTTTTTTTTTGGTGCCGGGGATTGAACTCAGGACCTTCTGCTTGCGAGGCAGGTGATGGAATCACTGAGCTAAATCCCCAGCCCAGATGTGGCTTTTTGACTCTCATTATGTCCACTTTTATTGTTTGTAACAATAAAACATAGTGTCAGTGATATGTAACAGTTTCCCTTGAGTACAGGAAACTGAAGAATATGCACGCAGTCCATTCCTCGTTGTTGCCCAGGCAGAGGCAGTACCAGAAGACCCACCCACTCTTTGGCAATTTCCCCTCTTTGCTTTCTGGGAAGGGCAGTACTGCCATTTCTTAAACGCGTCATCTCACTGCACAGCACACTCTGTTTCTACTGTTTTGTAATAATGAAAATTCAGAATATTCTGACGTCATGTCTCTTCTTTCTCTTAGAAGTGGTTCCTCAGTTCTCCAGGCATCACAAGTCCTGCTGACTTGAGCAGACCAGAGTGTGCAAGTGGACTGATTCACTGTACAATAGGGTGATGGTCTAAGTCTGGGGGGAGGCTAAATTCTGCATTTCTCATAGTTCCTGGGTGACACCTGTGGTGCTGATCGATGGATGTGTCACACTTTGACTGAAAAACTCTAAGGTTCATCTATATTTTCATTTGACATTCACAGATAATCTACATTAAATAGCTGATAAAACTACGTCATTTACAGAAGTTTTGTTCTGTGGTGTGGAGGTGAAAGGACAGGAGTAGACTTCTGAAATCACCTTGACTCTCTTTCTCCAAGACTGTTTCCTTAAATGGAAATTAAAAGAAGCTGTAGTTGACTTCCTGCTCCTTCCTAACACTAAAATTCTTTTGCTTCTAGCTAATATAATAATGGTACAGTCCCACCTTATATTTAGCACTTCAATTATAGGAACTCCATTTAGAAGCATTTTAATCAACACAAGGGTTCTTTGAAATTTCAAGGTCACAGCTTTCTGTGACATGTGACTTTCTCTATGCAGTTAATATTTGAAAATTAATTATCCAGGTAAGAAAGTTCTATTATACCATGCTACATGGCCTCCTAAGGTTTTCAGTTTAGAAGGATTCCTTGGTCATTCCTATAGCTGAACAGCAAGTGGTTGTGCTAAGTTAATTTTGAAAAATACAGCTTAATTTGTTTTGGGTAGAAATATCTAGGGCACTAATTACTGTATTGGATGGCAGTAACTGGGAGCTGTTTTCAGAGATTCTGATGATATTCACAACCTGCAGGTTTGGGTAGGTTATCAAGAAAATGTACTCCTCCAGGGCCATGAGATGGGGCAGCTACATTTTTTCTAAGCCCACACCTGAGCCTTCTTTGTCTCTCCTTCAAACATCCATCTCTTCTGAGGCTTCTGTCATCATAATCTCCTTTCTCCCATCCCACTGATGTCATCTATTGACTTTTAGCTTATTCTCCCTACTAAAGACCCACAGAACACACATAGTCATTATTTGTACCACCAGCAACTGTCACCCATCTCCAGGACTTGACTATTCCAGAGCATGAACCATTCAATCTCAGGCCCCTGTTTCCTTGACTTACTCTTCAAAAACAGCGAATGTCTGCCTCCACTCCACCTCAGGCATCCATTGCCTGATACCGCCAAGCACTATCTCTTAGCCTTTCAACAATCTTAGTTTAAATATTCACACTGATAAACCTAGACAGCAACTTATCTAGGAACCTCACATTACTTTTCCCTTCCCCTTCCATCTGCTCCTGGTTTCTCTTTAAATGTAGCCTAAATTTCAGAGTGTATATAAGAATCACTCCTTTGAAAAAGATCCTCATCTCTTAACTCTCCTCCATCCTAGCCACTTGGCAAAATTCTAGCCCTGGAAGAAATCAGCTAACCATGTTCTCTGTATCTATACCCACGTTGGTGGAGGTGGCTAAAGAAAATTAGACAACTGAGTTAATTGATGAGTTACACCCTAAATTCATCATCATCAGCTTTACCTACTGAAGGCTAGTCTATCCACTTCTGTCCTGGAAACCGTCCCTTTCTCCTTCCCAAGGGCTATGATTTGTCCTTTCTCACTGACAAACTTAACAGATTCAAGACCAAATTCTTTCTCCACTCAGACTTGCTCCTGTTCACCCTAGAGTTATGCTTGCCATTACCCACCAGTTACTCAAGTCAGATTATCTGGGAGTCATTCCCTAGTCCTTGCTTCCCCTCATCCTTGACCTCAAATTCAACACCAACACTTGGTCTTCAAAATATTTCTTAAATTCCTCTTCAATGACACCAGCCTAGTCCAGGTATTTACCATTTCTCATCTGAGCTCTGCAAACTTTTTGTTTTTGAGACAGTGTCTTGACAGTTGCCAGGGCTCATCCCGAACTCCTGGGCTCAAATGACCTTCCTGCCTCAGTCTCTCAAGCTGGGAGCACAGGCGTGCACAACCTTATTCAGCTTGCCAACATTTTCTAAAGGGTCAGCCTATCTTTGCCTTTGCCCTTTTCCAAATCATTCTCCACAGAGAACTAAGGTTGCTTTAAATGTAATCACTATTAAGTGTCTCTCCTCTCCGTAAAATCAATGCCTTCTTATACCGACAACCACAGCCAACTTCCTGACCATGATCACAAGGTCCTGAATGCACTAGGCTCTTTTCACCTCTCTAATGTCTTCCTGTATCCTTACTTCCCCATTGCCGGGCCACAGCATCATTTTCCTAGATATAAAAAGGATCAATAGGCCGGGAATTTAGCTCAGTGGTTTCGCTGTCTGCCGCGCAAGCGCAAGGACCCGAGTTCAATCCCTGGTACCAAAAAAAACACAAACAAAAAAACCTAAAAGGATCAATCACTTTCCCATGCTGGGATCTTTACATATGCTTTTCTGACTCTAGCAAAATGATTCACTCCAGTTTTCCCCCCTTTTCCTTTCAGCTCCTGTCAAATTTCCTTTTTAATTATTTTATGTAATGACTTATTTACTGTTTACTATATCCCTCATCAGAAAATAAGCCCCTTGAGGGCAGATCCATGTGTTTCTTGTGGATTACTACCTCCATACTGTCTGACACACAGTAACTAGGCATGCAATAAATATTCACTGTTAGTGAATCCATCAAGAATGTCAGGATAAATGAGATATGACAGGTCTCTAAGTCAGAGCTCTCTTCTCGCTGATCAAGACGTATGAGCCCAATGAAAATAAGTGATACATCAATGTCTCTGTTAAATCTATGTCTTGGTTACCTCAATGTCATGGTTACAGGCTGAGGTCCTGACTATATCCTTTATCAACCCACAGGCCTAGCCTTTCACATCGTGAGTGCTTCTTTTTTCTCACTTTTTAATATAATTTATAATCTTTTCTTTAAAAATTTGCCTTCATCTGTGCTATTTTGCAGCATTAAAATACAATTATGCGCACAAATGCGTTTCTCCACTGCACCAGTCTAACTAGTGATCTGGATAAAGCTTTTCATTTGCATCCTCCACAAGGGCTCATTACAGATTATTACTGATTCTGTCTCAGGCCCCCATCCCCACAGGATGACCGCTTATAAGCAGAAACTGCAGCCCTCCCCAAGCCAGCCTGGGTAGTTGCTCTTAGGCTGCTAAATATCTAGAATAGGTAATTTTTCTTCTTCAAATATCTGTAAGTTTTTAAGCAGACAGAGAGATGCAGAGAAAAAAACAGCATTAAAGGATGAAAAAACAAAAACCCGCAGGTCAACAAAATGAAGAAATACTAAAGGAAGAGAAAGGAGATGGGGAGGAAGTAGAGAGAACTAAAAGATTCCAAGTCCGGGCGGGCGGTGTGTGTGCTGTTAACAGTCTAGAAATTAATCTCTCATGAGGGACGGGTGAGAACAGGCAGTCTGAATTCTATTTCTCCTACAGGGATGAAGGATAATTAACAATTAACCATGGCCTGGAATAAGTTTCTCCATCTAAAAACTACCTGCCTGAGGAGTAAATGCTGACATCAATCTTTCCCCACAGGGTGGGGGAGATAATAACAGGCAAAAATTCTTTCTCTCTGCTCTATTTTCAGAGCAGGATTTTTTAGGGCATAATTTTCAACAAGTTTTGGCTGAGGTTGATCACAGGGCTCGAAGATAATTCAGGACACTCAAAGAGGAGCCCAATTACTTCCCACCAGTACGGCCTACACCTCACGATTACATTACTGAGTAACAGGACTGCTGAAGGACTTACCTGTACGCAAAGCGGCGCGGCAGGATCATCAATGAAAAGCACTCACTGCATCAAGCCCAAGTGGCCGGAGACTGTCTGAGAGGCGAAAGTGACCAGCCTGTCCTCGCCTTGTGGGGTACAAGGTGCCCGCCCGAGTCTCTCCCGGAGCTTCCTTTCTCCTGGGCCCCAACCTTGGGACTTCCCGGGATCTCTGGGAGGCCACGAGGAGCAGGGGGCGGATCTGGTGGCGCGGACACACCCCACCCCCCTCGGGCGCCAGGAGCCCCGCGGCCGGGCTCTCGGGAAGGACGCCCTGCGAGGGACTCCGGCCCCGCCTCTCCCGCGCCCTAGCGCTCACCTCCGCGCCCTCCGCGCCGGGCCGGGCTAGACGAGCCACACAGCTCCGCGGCCGCGGCTCCCGGGCCTACGGGGTGCTCCTCGGCAGGCGACTGCGGCTGTGGCGCGGCGGCCGCGCTCGGGCTGCTTCCCTGCCAGCCGGAGCCGGATCGCGCCGCGCGGGAGGAGAAGGAAGGAGGCGCGCGGGCCGGGCGCAGTGACGCGCCACCGCCACAGCCGGAGGCCGGGCGCGGGCGGCGGAGGGGGCCCGTAGGTTTGCGCCCCTCCCGGCCTGGCCCCGCGGAGCCCTCGCCCGCTCCCCCTGCGGCTCCCCGCGGCCCCGGGAGATTCCCGTGGAAGCGCTCCAGGGCCGGGGAGCCCACTTCACACCCTGCTGCCTCTGGGGTGCGCGGTAGCCGCGCTGAGCCCCCACGCCCCCGCAGTCCCCACCTCCCCGCTCCTAGTTCCCGATCAGCCTCTAAGAAACTGGGCTTCTGCTCCTCTACGTGCTCTCTCCTTCTCTGCTGGATTGTGTTCTTGGAAAACCTTTTCCTGAACCACTCTTTAAAGCTCCCACGCAGGACGATGTCCCCGGCCCACGGAACACGGAGAGGAGCCTGGACCCTAACCTTAGCTCTCAGGTGCCGCGAAAGCTCCAGGCTTGGGTTTTTGGGGAAAGGATAGACCTGGAATCAGGAGCCCCGTGTTCCGGTGGCTAGGGTGTACCCCACTTAGCTCCAAGGACTCGGTGGCCTTGGGGTGTTCTGGGAATCTTGGCTTGGACCCAGGTAGTCTGTATGAGCTCTCCCCGCACATTACCAAGTAGGCAGGTATCCTTTCTGTTCCTTGTAGAAGGAGTCAATAAGAAGAGATCTTTATATTTGAAATCAATTTATCAAAAATTCTCAAATTTGAGAACAATGTTTTTCCTATGTTAGTAAACTCCCATTTCAACAAATTAAGTTTAAAAATTATCTCTGCTGGTAATTTATTAAAGAAAAAACAAAATGAGAAGTGGGTCTTGGCTTGCTCATTGGGGTCCTGCGCTTTCGGCTTTGTTGTCTATTCACAGGGACGCCTTTGCCAGGGCTGATTTGGAACACATCCTTTGTTGGGTTTAAAATGTATCCCTCTCCCACCTCCATATATTAAAGTTTGTGTGTGTGTGTGGTTTTGCTACTGGGGATCAGACTCGGGTCCTTCCGCTTGCACGTCAGGCAGTGAAACCACTGAGCTAAACCCCCAGCCCCATATATTAAAGTTTAAAGTAGAGGCAAAAGCTAAGCTTTCAGTGATGTATCAAGGTGTGGGGCATTGACAGCTGCTAAAGTACCTTCCATTTTGGCAGCTGGAAAGAATCATTTAATTTTATATAAATTTTTTCTTTTTTTTTTTTTCCGTACCGGGGATCAAACTCAGGACCTTGTGCTTGCGAGGCAGGCACCGGAACCACTGAGCTAAATCCCCAGCCCTAATTTTATATAAATTACTATTGTTTCCCTTCAACCACTCTCAAGTTCTTTTTTTCTTGTTTTGTTTTTGTTTGAGACAGGGTCTAGCTATGTAGTTCAGACTGACCTTGAACTCACTTCGTAGCCCCAGCTGACCTGGAACTCTCTGTGATTCTCCTGCCTCAGCCTCCAGTGTGCTGGGATTACAGAACCATTGTCAAGTAAATCAGCATTTTGTTTTCCCCAGAACGTCGACAGGACTAATGGAGGAAACTGATGAATCTTAGCAGTTAATGAAAACATGTACCTTTTCTGTGTTGTTTTTAAAAAGTTGCATTATGTAACTTCCACAAAGGGTTATTTAAAAACTCTAGCATTTCTAAGATCCTAACACAACACCGTAAATTGTTGTACAGAACGTATAGGAAAAGCATGCATTTTAAATATTTTGGAAAGCTGTCTTAACCTGAGCTCTGATTATCCTAAAATAAAAGTATGTGGAATCACTTCGCCCCAAAGAGAAGCAATGAGTCAACAATTTGCAGTTTCCAGAAGGAATATCTGCTTTTCATACTTGAACTATTAAACATCCTCTGTGGAAAAACTGGGCACTAAATGTGCTGAAAACAATTTCTGGTGTTGATGCAAAACTGGATTCCTTTTGGTTCATTTCATGGTGACTGTAATTTTTACCACTGTTTTTCATTTGGAGTTGCTGAGTATAAAAATGAGTTCACAAGACTTGCAGGTCAGGCGGTGCGCTCTGAGAGCTCTCCTCAGTTCCCTGAAGTAGTAATTTACTCCACTGATGCACATCGATAATTTACTAAATGAATCTCTGGAGGCCTAGAGGTGCTAACACAATTTTTTCTTTGAAGTTGTTATACAATGGATATCTTCAGAACAGTGCTTTCCAAAGTAACTTTAAGCACCGGTCCACCAGATGCGTATTGAGCTGCTGGTGTGTCCTGGCTGCAGTGCTAGCAGTAATGGTGAGGAAGACAGATACAGTGAACTGCCTTGATAGAAATTAAAGTTTTGTGGTGATGTTGATTCGTAAACAGATGTAAATAAGGTTTACACAAATTTATTTACTGAGTAAAATTAGTATAAATTATGACAGAAACAGCAAACTTTGAGATAAACAAGGAGAAATCTTTTCATTTTAGAATTGACAATGCATATCCATTAAAGACCCTGGAATTTCTACAGTAAAGACATTCACTTAACCCATTCTCAACAAATTCTCAAATTTGTTTTGAGCATATAAACCTTTGTTTATGAACAATATGTATTAAGTAATAAAATATAATTTTTTTGTGTGAAATGTTGCTTTTTGAAATCGAAGAATTCAGTAAACATGAAACATGATAATGTTATCATATATTTGTCAGTGTACATCAGCCTATACTTTAACAGACATATACATAATAACCTGTTTGAAATATATTTTATTTGGAGACAGATTGATATAGAAACATTTAAAAATCTGTTAAAGTATATGAATGTACATGTGCACAAAAAGGATATTTTGTAATTAACATTGTTTAATGAACATATTTTCAAATATCAATATGATCTAGAATCTTAAAATTCTTGATGGCTGTATAGTCCATACATAATATTGACATAATATTAGCTCTAAGCTTTAGGAAAATGCATTTTCTAATTTCTTTTATAATTAATACTCCTTTCATTTCTTTCAACACTTTTTGGAGTATTAAGGGGAGGTAATATTTCTGTGGAACAGATTCTTAAATAAGGTTGATTAAGTGAAAATGAATTTTATATTTCTGATTATAAATCTCCATATTTCTTCCTATAACAATTTAAAACTTGCTTTTAATAATATGGATATACTTTTACCTTTTGAATTCAGTATCTCATTGGTAGTGAATTTTATTGTTTATATTTGTTTAAGTAGATCAAGGAAGCTTTAAAATATATGCAACTTAAATCTGTGCATAGGAAATAACAAAATACTTGGAGGAATTTGGGTAGCTGTGTCATTAATCCATCAAGAGCTTTAATACTATTTCCCTCTGAGTGTGCCTCTCCTCTGTAAATTCTTCCAAACTAACTTTATGTAATTAAACTAATTTACCTTAAAATGTAACAATGCACAGAAAGTAAGATATAAGCTTTGCCCTGTGCACTGGGATTGGAGGAGATAGGCAAAGTTGACCAGGGAGCACTGTTTAAAAAAATGAGTCAAAATTTGAATAAAACCCCAGTGTAAGGATGGCCATCTTTGGAGGACTCCTGCAGGAAGGCAAACCTTGCCAAGTATTCAAAAGGACTAGATCAGATAGAGCATCAGCAAGGCTTTCGATTTTTTCATAGATTTGAAGTAAAAAAGAAGACACAGAGGTAGCTACCTTGACCCAAGGGGCTTCCAGTGTTTGATAATCATATATATTGATGATGATGGATATTGGGAGCCATTTTTAATAGTTTTTCTGATGATGATCAGACAGAGTCTCCTTAAAAATAAAAATTTACTCATATCCTGTCATGAGATATATTGATGTTTAAATTTTAAATACTACTCCCTCACTCACTTAATTCTACCTTTTGGTGGAAATTTAGTCCATACATAAGGTATTTAAATTGTGGCTACCCTCAGTAGAGTTCTCTAGTAAATATTTAAAATGCATTTAAAATTTTTTTCTTATAAACATTTAGATTTTGGATTTCATGAATCAGTGAATGTGACTATGCAATTTCAGAGCCCATGTTTTTGCATTTGTCATTTGCATTGGTTCCTGGTAGTATGAAACTGTCAAAACTTAATGAGAGCACTCTTACAGCTGAACAGGAAAAAGACAACCCAATTACACAATGGCCTTAAAATTTGAATAAATATCTCCAAAGAAGATAAACAACAGGCCACTGAGCACATGAAAAAGGTGCTCAACATCCTTAGTCTTCAGAGAATTGCAAATCAAAACCACCTGAAATAACTTCAGACCAACTAGGATGGCTATAATCAAGAAGTCTGTGTTAGACTGGGGCATACATAGCTCAGTGGTAGAGTGCTTCCCTAAGGTGGATGGGGCCCCCTGGATTTGATCACCAGTGCTGAAAAGAAGATTCAATACCACAAAATTAAGTGTTGGTGAGAAAGCAGAGAACCTTCTTATATTGTTGATGGGAAAGTTAAATGTTCGACTACTTTGTAAAATAGTTTGGTAATTCTCCATATATATATATATATATCCAAGAGAATTGAAAACATGTTTGCACAAAAATGCACTCAAATGTTCACTGCAGCAATATTTTCAATCACTCTAAAGTGGAAACAATTCAAACGTTCAACTGGTGAATGTATAAATGAAACAAATTGTGTCTGTACAATGGGATATTGTTCAACTGTAAAAAGGACTGAAGTACTGATATAGATGAGAACATAGATGAAACCTGAAAAATGCTGAGTGAAAAGTTCCAGCCCCCAAAGCCTGTATTTTATGTTTCTGTTTATATAAATGTCCAAATAGGCAAATCATATAAATAAAAGTAGCTTAGTAGTTGCTAATCTACT